AGGTCGGCTTGAATCTGTCATTGTTAAATTCTGCTAAAAACACTAAAGATTGAAGATCACTAATGGATACAGTCATTATGCCATCCTTTCTTATAGTCAAAATAGTTTTTATTCTTATATGAAAGTATTTGGACACGTGTGCCTTATTAAAAATGAATGCCATTGCATTAGGTAAAGTATCAAAGCAAAATGGACACCTGTGTGAACTAACATTATACATCCACTAATAATCACCAAAAGCACTAGCTGATTAAAACACATTGAGCAATAATGATAAATTAACAATGACATTCATACATGTAGAGTATGACCTAGGAGTCCAAATAGGGCAATATGTGCATACAGTACAGTGCATATCAAAACAAAAAGTATTCCTTATCCATTTAAAAAGATATTAAGTATACAGAAATATTAACTAAATTACTAAAGCATTTTATATTTTTATTTTCAGTAGTCTGGCGCTGATTTGAGCTCAGGCCTGTTAGAGATCATCACCTGACTGAGAACATGCATGAATTAATAATCAATGAAATCGATCACTTACCGTTTATGAAAAGAAGTCGATTTTTAATAAAGTTACTTGTGTATTAATTTCTACTATTATTGACAGCGTTTAAACGGCGAAAAGTGAAGCGGAGCCATTGATCTTCAGCAGAGTTTAGACCAGGAAGTAGGAAATAAACTTTCTCCTACGTCAAGCACGAAAGCTCAGACAGCAGCGGTGAAGAGCGAAAGTATCTGCTTTGAAACCCGCCGCACCTCGTTTGAAACGTTCTCAGAACACTGGCTAACGTTCTCTCAACGTCATGAACAAACGTTCTTCCAGTAATAAAAAAAAAACGTTCGTTCAAAGTTATCTGCTTTTTAATAAGGTTCTCAAAATGTTAGCACAAAAACGTTCTTTATATATAATTCATTAAACGTTTTTCTATGAAACACTTTTTTTTACATGTTTAATGAACATAAAAGTAACGTTGTCAGAATGTTTGCAAAATTATAAAATTGAATGTTTCCTTAATGTTAAATCATAACCAATAAAAAAACGTTTTAAGACGTTTCAAACAACTTCAGCAATTTTTTTTTAGAAAGTATCAATAATAATTGAATAATAATAATATGAATAATATGAATAATAATAATCAAAGATTTATAAAAAATGCTACTTAAAATAGTTTTAGATTTACACTTCTGAAATGTCATGTCAGCTACTTTTATTTAGAGGTCATATACTATTTTACATAGTGAAGCCCTATAAATAAAAAAGCAACCCAAGTTATTGTAAAATGTTTATTATAAATATAAAAGAAAAAAACAATAGCCCTCATTTGTAGCCAAATTGTAAGACTATTTAGATATTTTCCCAACTATCATAAGTTCATTAATATGAACTGCTTAACGGCATCTTTTCTTCCTAAAGTTGCATTGTTTTCCTCTCATAAACTTCTTTAAGGTATTTATTTATGTGAAATCTTTTTTATGCAACATTTAACATGAATAGATTTTGTAAGTGGTGATAACCACAACAATGATTTCCCTCCATATATTCAATAATAATATGATCAAGAGTTTCCAATTTTAAGAATTATTTTTCCAATATGGCCTCCATACGCTGATGAGCCATTTCAACATCCTCCATGTTAAACATGCTGTCTATCACAGGCTGCAAGGGAGGATCTGTTGACTGGAAGTGCGGCAAAACCTGCTCTGTGAAACTCTGGACCAGCTCTGCTTTATACTAGAAATAAAAACAATCATAAATGCAAAGTGCATAACATTTAATGCTTCAAATGTAACATTATACATCATCAAAAGAGTTAAAACAGGCAAAAAAACAGCATAAGGGTTTGGAGTGACATGAGGTTTGAATATATAATGGAAGAATCTTTATTTTTGGGTGAATTTATGAAGAAACAATGCAATCTGAAGTAACTAGTATTATTGAGTCTAACCTGTAAACGTCTTGATCTGAGGAGACTGCAAAGGAGATGGCCTCTCTTCCTCAAAAGCTTTCCAAGCAAGTCACCATCTGCTGTTTTACCTCCCAACATGCCATAAAGCACCCATCGTCCATCTATTGCAAGGCTACAAATGTTCTTCTCCCAAAAAGATCCACCAACACAGTCCAGAATTACATCAGCTCCCTTGCCTGCACAAACACACACACACTTTAAAGGGGTCATATGATGCTGCTAAAAAGAACATTATTTTGTGTATTTGGTGTAATGAAATGCGTTTATGCGGTTTAAAGTAAAAAAAACACATTATTTTCCACATACTGTACATTATTGTTTCTCCTCTATCTCCCGCCTTTTTGAAACGCGTCGATTTTTACAAAACTAATCGGTCTGAAAAGCGAGGTGTGCTCTGATTAGCCAGCTATCCAGTGCGTT